CAAGGGAGTTAAGATAACACAGAACCAGATAAATGTCAAAAATCTACATCTAGGCATGTAGTTCTCGAACTTCAGAAAACCAAAAATAATAAAAAAAAATCTGAAGCCAAAAGGAGGAAAAAAAATCTTAACTAAAAAGAAACAAGATACTAATTATACCCAACATCTCCTGAGAATCCATGTAAGTAAAGAGAGAGTACAGATATACAAACAATTGATGAAAGAACCCTACAACATAGAATTCTGTACACTATGAAATCAACCTGTAAGAAAGAAGAAAAAATAAAGACTTTATCAGGGAAACAAAAATTGAAAGAATTTGTTGCCAGGACACCTGTAGTGGAAGCAGTGTGAAAGAAAAGAAAAAATTTACAGAGAAGAAAAAAGGTATAGGTTAGAATCTGGATATACATAAAGAGAACTAAAGAAATAAGTGAAGGTTCAATAAAAAGCTTTTCTTTAATTAGGCTTTTTTCATTGCAACATAGTTGACTGTACATATCTTTGAGGTAAAGAATTGGATATCAATATATGTGCAATATATGATGTTCAAATCAGGATAGTAAGTATATTCTTCTATATACAGTGTAATAGATTTTTGTGACCCTTTACAAATACCTCCCTTCCACCATCCCCCTGAGCATTTCCTCTCTCTATTAATCTCAGTTGTTTTCTGCTCTTGAACTTCAATGCAATGTTGTGATTGTTGTACATTTCTTTTAATTTTTCTTTTCCTTTTTGTCTTTTTTTCGTGACCGGTATCGGGATCGCAACCCTCAGTGTCGCGCCCGTACCGCGACTGGCAACGGGATCGCAACCCTCAGTGTCGCGCCCGCACCACGCTCAGCCAGTGAGCAGACCAGTCTCTATATGGGATCCGAACCCTCGGCGGGAGCGCCACTGCACCACCGGGCCAGCCCATTTCTTTTAATTTTTAAGTTATTTATTTTCTTAGCTGTCACATATAAGTGAGAACATGCAAAATTTTTCTTTCTGCACCTGGCTTATTTTACTTAACATAATTTTTTCGAAGCTCATCCATGTTGCTGTGAATGGCAATATTTCACCCTTTTTAAAAGCAGGGAGTATTCCATTGTAGAAATATAGCACATTTTCCTTATCCAGTCCTCTGATAATGGACATTTAGGTTGATTCCAACTCTTGCCTACTGTAAATAGAGCTGCAATGAATATGGGAGTATAGGTGACCCTTCTACATGATTATTTCCAATCCTTTGAATGTACATTTAGTAGTGGGATTGCTAAGTCATATGGCAGTTCTATTTGTAGTTGCTTGAGGAACCCCCACATGGTTTTCGATAATGGGTGCACCAATTTACAGTCCCACCAATGGTATAGGAGGGTTCCTCTTTCTCTGCACTCACCAGCATTTGTTATTCTCTGCCTTTTTGATAGTACCCAGTCTAACCGGAATGATAAGATATTTCAACGTGGCTTTGATTTACACTTCCTGGATGCTGAGTGATGTTGAGCATTTTCTCCTGTATCTGTTGGCCATTTGTATATCTTCCTTTTGGAAATGCCTATTCAGCTCCTTTGCCCATTTTTAAAATCAGACTACTTGTTATTCTACAATTAAGTTGAGTTACTTGTATATTTGCATATTAATCCTTCATCAGATGCATAGTTTGCAAATAATTTCTCCCACTCTGTAGGTTGTTCTTTTCCTGTTGTTTCTTCTGCTGTGCAGCAGCTTTTCAATTTGATATAATCCCATTTGGTTTTTCTTTTGTTGCCTACGTTGTAGGGGTCATATTCATAAAGTCTTTGCCCAGTCCTACTTCCAGAAGCGTTTCCCCTATAATTTCTTTTAGGAATTTTATAGTTTCAGGTCTTATATTTAAGTTTTTAATCCATTCCTTCCAATCCAACAGCACAGAATATCTTTCCACTTTTTGTTGTCTTCTTTCATTTCTTTCAACAGTGATTTGTAGATTCCAGTGTTGAGATCTTTCACATCCTTCATTGACTGTATTCCAAGATATTTTATTTTGGGGGTGACTATCATTAATGAAATATAGCTTTCTTGACTTTTCTGGCTAGTTCAAAAACACTAGTGATTTTTGCGTGTATGCTGCTGCTTTACCGAAATTGTTTACTCAATCTAAGAGCTTCTTTGGAGACTTTTTAGGCTTCTCTGTATATATGATCATTATGTATGCCAACAGGGATAACTTGACTTTCTCTTTTCCGTTTGGGATGCCCTTGCTTTCTTTCTCTTGCCTGATTCCTCTGGCTAGTACTTCCTATACTATGTTGAATAACAGCTGACGGTAGATACCCTTGTCTTGTTCCAATTCTTAAGGAAAAGCTTTCAACTTCTCCCCATTCAGAATGACAATGATATTAGGTTTATCATATATAGGTATATCATATATATTTTACTGTGTTGAGATACTTTATTCTATACCCAATTTGCTCACACTCTTTACCATGAAGTGATGTTGAATTCTGTCAAATGCTTCTTTCAAAGTCTGTTGAGATAATCACATGGTTTTTCTCTGATTTTGATAATGTAGTGTACCACATTTGACTTGTGTACGCTGCAGGATTCTTGCTTCCCTGGGATGAATCCTACTTGAGTGTGATGTATAATTTTTTGGATGTGTTGCTGTATTCTATTTCCTAACATTTTATTGAGGATTTTCCCATCTATATTCATCAAATATCTTAGCCAATAGTTTTCTTTTTTGGTGGTGTCTTTATCTGCTTTTGGGGTCAGGGGATGTTTGCCTCATAGAATGAGTTTAGGAGAATGATCTCTGTATCAATATTTTGGAATAGTTTCAAGAGAATTGATGTTAATTCCTCTTTAAGTTTTGGTAGAATTCAGCAGTAAAGCCATCTGGTCCTGGCATTTTCTTTGTTGGGAGATTTCTGATTACTGCTTCAATCTCATTGCTTGGTATTGGTCTGTTCAAGTTTCCTATGTCTTCCTGATTCAGTCTTCATTGTTTTTATGTCCAGAAATTTCTATTTCCTCCAGGTTTTCATACTTATTGGTGTACAGTTGTTTATAAGTGTCAAATGATTCTTTGTGTTTTGGTGGCATAGGTTTTGATGCCTTTTTCACTTCTGATTATTGTTATTTGTGTCTTCTCTCTTCTTTCTTTAGTTTGCCTACCTAAAGTTGTGTCTATTTTGATTAACTTCTCAAAAAAAAAAAAACCCTTTTCTTTCATTGATCATTTGTATCATTTTGGAAGGTTTTATTTCATTTAGTATTAATCTGATCCTAATGATTTTTTGCCATCTACAAGTTTTGGGGTTGGATTGTTTTTAGTTTTTTAGTTCCTTGAGGTGCAGTGTTCAATTGTTTATTTGAAGCCCTTCTATTCTTTCAATATAAGCATTTATCACAATCAATTTCCCTCAGTACTGCTTTTGCAGTATCCTATATGTTTTGATATGAATTGTCTTTGTTTTCATTAGTTTCAAGAGATTTTTTGATTTCCTCTTTAATTTCTTCTTGGACCCAGATGTCATACAGGAGAATATTAATTTTCATGTATTTGTAAACTTTCCAGAGTTTTGTGTTATTGATTTCTCGTTTTAATCCATTGTCATCAGAAAATATACAGCAAATAGGGCCGGCCCAGTGGCGCACTGCTACAGTGTGCCGCTTGGGAAGTGCGGCGGCGCTCCCG